ACTCCGAGGTGTACGTGGTTCTTCTCGCCACCGTTGATGGAGCTGCCGATATCTTTGGTGCCACGCTTTGCCCTCGGTCGCCGGACTTCCAAGACTACCCTCGACGACGTAGATCGCCATGATGACGCTCCGACGCCGCAGCGGCGCCGGCGGCACACCTCCGACGACACGCTCGTCGTCCACGCCGGGGAGCGGCGGCGCGCGCGCGATCGGCGGCGTCGCGGCGGAGGTGACGGACTACTCGATCGCGACGCCGATCGTGACCGGCACGGCGCGCTGGTTCCGCGACTCGGCCGACCTCGTCGCCTTCAGGGAAGGCGGCGGGCGGCGGCGGCGGCGGCGGCACAGCTTCGAGTACGCCCGTTACGGCAACCCCACCGTGGAGGTCCTGGAGGACAAGATCAGCGCCATGGAGAAGGCCGAGGCGACGATCGTCACCTCCTCCGGCATGAACGCGATCGTTGCGACGCTGCTGGCCGTCGTCCCGCCGGGCGGCCACGTCGTCGCCACCACCGACTGCTACAGCGAGGCGCGTGCCTTCATACGTGACAGGCTCTCCAAAATGGGCATTAGGGTAAGCTATATTAATAGAGATTTGCTCCGATCCAACAAAAAGTATTTTGAGATATGGTACCAAATTGTTTCTGATCGTTGGATCTAACAATACCCATCCTACCCAGCTAGATCCAACATTGAGAAACGATTTAATACCGTACGGTACCGGTACCTCGAGATATTTTTTGTTGGACCAGAGTAAATCTCATATTAATATACACGCACCATTGCAATATATAGCTCCTACTATGACATTAATTTGCAGATTGAATGATGTCGATTGTTTCATTAATTTGCAGACGACGTTCGTCGATCTGGACGACATGGAGGCGTTGCAATCCGTTCTTGATCAGGGCAATGTACGTGACACACGAACCCCCGATATTCCGATGCACAGACACACACACATGGATAAAATATTCTAACGATCGAGAATGTACATGTGTGCAGGTAACGATGTTCTACGCGGACTCGCTGACGAACCCTCACCTCAAGTGCGTGGACGTGCGGCGCGTCGCGGAGCTGTGCCACCAGCGGGGCGCTCTGGTGTGCATCGACAGCACGCTGGCGTCGCCCATCAACCAGAAGCCGCTCACCCTCGGCGCCGACGTCGTCCTCCACTCCCATCACCAAGTACATCGCAGGCCACCACGACGTGATCGCCGGCTGCGTCAGCGGCTCGGAGGAGCTCATCTCGCGCATACGCGTGTGGCACCACGACCTTGGCGGCGCCATCAGTCCAGTAACCCTTTGGCTAGCTTTCTTGTTTTAAGAGGATTGGGAACCTTCCCCCTTGGTACATATAACGGAGCGGTTGATTATTACATCGTTAATTAAGAATTAACTAAAACTTAAAAAGTGTATTCACTACTATGCAAAAGGTGATTGGTGCCGGTTGGGAAACCCCATGGGTGACGGATTTTACAACCGGTATGGGTGTTGGATTTCTTAACTGGCACCCGGTAGACATCACGTATGTTTGAGTCCTCCTCAAAGGTGTCGGTTTAGGAACTGGCACCTTAAGGTTCCATAATGCAAAAAAAAAATACATCTCGATTCAAGCTAATGCATCGAGCAGTTCCACATCACTCGCAAAGCAGCCCACATTCAATAACATCACCCACACAAATCACAAAAATTCTAATGATTCATCAATATTGATCCATCAACCAACAACATTGACCGCAAAAATCACAAAAATTAATTAACAAAACACTGGGAAGTCGCTGACACCATCGTCACCACCAGGTCTGCCCGCGGAAGGCTATGGACACCGCTGTCGCCGCCAGATCTTGAGGGTGAGGAGTACGCCGCAGCCGCTCACGATGGGGGAGGGTGCTGCTGCCGCCGCTCACAGTGGGGCAGTGCGGCCGTCGACGCTGGAGAGAGAGGAGCTTGGCCCAGTTTTTAGAGGTGTCGGTACCTATAATATATTATAGCTATTGGTTTTTTTAAATAATTGGCACATATAATAAATTAGAGGTGGAACAAAACCGGTACCTATATATTATTGATGTCGGTTTTTCTCTAAAACTGACATCTATTTCTTCATAAAGGTGCCGGTTTATTTTGCTGTGGGCGCTCATGTGGACAAGAAAAATAGTAATATTTTTAATCCAAGACAAATATATTATGAAAATTTATTCAATTAAATTTAATGAAACTATACTGGTGATGTAAATATTACTACTATTTTCTACCGAATTAGTCAAACTTAGAGTAGTTTAACTTTAAATAAAGTCAAAACGCCTTACAACTTGAAACGGGGGGAGCAATACCTAACCGTTTTGTTACAGTTCACTTATATACTGTTACAACAACAAACATATTTTTTTTTTCAGAATGCAGCGTACATGATCATTCGCGGTCTAAAGACGATGGCGCTGCGGGTGGAGGCGCAGAACCGGACGGCGCTGCGGGTGGCACGGCTGCTGGAGAGGCACCCCAAGGTGGAGCGTGTCAACTACCCGTGGCTGGAGAGCAGCCCGTGGCACGGCGTCGCGAGGAAGCAGATGACCGGCGCCGGCGGCGTGATCAGCTTCGAGGTGGCGTCGGACATGCGCGGGGCGATGAGGTTCGTCGACGCGCTGGAGTTGCCCTTCATCGCGACTTCGCTCGGCGGGTGCGAGAGCCTAGTGCAGCAGCCGGCCATCATGTCCTACTGGTATGCACCCTTGTTTGTGTTTTATTAAGTTGACAACAGTAAATATTACTCCCTTTCCAAATTTATCATCATATAATAGAAAACAATATTTTTTAAATTGATCATCATATAACCACATGGACATAGATTTTATCATAATACAAGTAATGCAGCATGAGAGAATGTGTGCATGCTAAGGTATAATTGGTATGATGTTTTAATCGACACATGCATTGTGGGAGAATATGTGCATGGTGTCTTGATTGAGGTGATTTTTTTAGTCTTGGTGTATAAACATATATGATGATCGATCATTTTGGAAAGGATGGAGTAATTAACTGCTCGCTCAATTTCATACATTTAACGGATTTAATCTGGTGCACGCACGTAACATGTGTTAATTAATGTTGGCATAATTAGTTCGTGCTTAATTTTACTAGGGGCAAGAGTGAAGCGGAGAAGACCGAGAATGGGATCAAGGATAACCTTGTGAGGTTTAGTTTTGGGATCGAAAAGTTTGAGGACCTCAAGGACGACATACTACAAGCCCTAGAGAAGATTTAATTATTAGGGCTAACTATAGGCGTTGCATCTTGTTTTCGTCTTTTCGATCACTATATTTATCTATGTTTGGACAATAAAAAGTAGACGCTCCAGTATACAATCGTATACAAGATGAGTATGGACAGAAACAATGAATGATATGGAAACTCAGATTTTATTTATTCCAAGGATTTTACAAGCTCCTCTTTTTTTACACAAAATGTTGGTGTGGCACTAAGACACTTCATAAATATGAATCCAACCAGTTGACAATTAACTGCGATAAGTTCTTCATCATCATATTTACAGGTTTTCCCATATAAAAAATATATGATAATTAAGTTGATAGTAGCTCGCCTGAAAGTTCGAGTCATCCAACCAAAGTTTCCGACACCACCGGAGTAGTGCCAATCGCTCCCACTGCCATCAATCCGAACACCACATCTAGTCCTCACAGTATTGATTGCAACCCATCTAATGGTACAGATCGCCACCTGAAGACCCACCAATTAAACTTCGTTGATCATCACCTTGTTCCACCTTGTGCCAGTCCTATCTCAGACACATATGTAACCTGGTGTGGTGTGGGGCACCTCCCTCGTACCTCTACCTGGGATCTCCCGCAAGCTCTAATACAGCTTGTTATAAGACGCAGCCTAGATATATATCTTGAAAACCGACACTATAGAAAATTCAAATTTAATGAACACACAGAAGCACGATATTTGTTAACGATGTCCAGCTGAAACCTACATCACTGGGACATTGATTATGGACGCTCCTCCCCAATCCAACATAATTACAACGTATCAAAGTTACGTTACAACAACCCTCAGTCGGACAACCACATCAGTCGTTCCCTCTTGCAACAGTTGTGGTCGGTCGGCGTAGACGATGCGACGATGTCTAGGGGTGGTGAGGACGGTTGGGGCCGGCGAGGGCACGGATTGGTGGTGGATGGGGAGAGCACGCTTGGCGGCGATGGAAGGGGAACAGTGAAGGATATAGGAAGTTAGGTTTGGTTGATTAGGGTTCAGCTTTTACATGGTTCTATCAATTTCACCACCAAAATAGATCAGCCGGGTCTTTAAATGGATTGTCTTCATAGTGGTTTCTCATAGCTCCGGGGGCCTGCTGGGAGACCTGCGGGTCCATTCTCTCCCCCGTCCTCGCTCACCCGCAGGTAGGAATTCCCACCTGCCCCCTCTCCCGTTGGGGACGAGGACCAACCCTAATGAGGAAATAGCCACCCATAGGGCTAGGCCATATCATTATTCTTCGATGCATCGTGGCGTTCATCATTCCTTTGTACAGTTCTTTTTAATTAATGAAAATTACCGTGGGGCTTCCCTCACTGTTTCCTGGTAAAAAAATGAAGATAAAGTTATGGAACTGTATATATATGATAAATTTATGAATGATTTTTATCGTATATGCTTCATTTGCGATGTTTTTTCTACCTGCAATTCCAAATGATGATGTGATAATTCACCTGCGAAGATGTAGCTAGAGAGGAGATCATATATTAGGGATCTATATACAGTTGTATTATATATTGTCGTCATATGTTTTTCTTAGTTTGTTCAACTTATTATTAATGCTATTGACTAGTCTATGATCCCCGGGACCATTTTGCCTGGATCCGCTAGTTAACGTTGCATGTTACCAAATTTTCAGTGGGAAAACCACTCTTGAACAAATGGTAGCTGATTAGTTTGGCAATGGCAATTATGCATAGCGGCTCATTCACGATTTCATGTATAACTGGTAAAATTGACATAATGGTCTTACACGGTATAATTATTTGTATATATATGTTGAAGTTCATTTTGCAAATTAACCTATAGATACTTGCCGAGGCAAATCAATATAGCCAAGTAACCAAACACCATATATAGCTAAACAATGGAGAAACAATCCATTTAGCTAGAGTTTTACAGAATATGAGCATTATGCAATATTGCAAATGGTTGAAAGGAGGGAAACAAAACCACACAAGTGTTCTTATTACGATATATGTCACCATATTGTGTTTGATCTCTTTAAAAGCATCTCGTAATTAAGAGAGAGGACATTCATGGACCACACGTGCTACTATATTTTCTTCAAGGACATGACGATGACGGCATACTTTGTCTTCTCCCTCTCAAGGTGTTGGGCCACAAGGGGTCTAAACTCTTGAAACAACACGTCAAGTATGCTTTCTCCAAAATGACTTGCTATCAAAGACTCCAGCACAGATCTAATGCCCGTAGTGATATTTTGGCTACTGCTGGCAATGTCATGAACAACGTCATCTACTGAATCGTCATAAGGATCCCAGTTTGCCTCAAAGAGTTTCATGTGAACCAAGTCAAACATATGGCTTTCCATAACTATTTCCATTACTTCGTCATCTGATGGCCCATAGATAGGTAGGTTGAAGGATTCCAACTTTTCCTTGTTCACAAGGCCCTATATGATCAATCAATGGTTAATTCTGACTAGCACATCTCTTCTTAGAATGTTAATTAGCGATATCTCTACTCTTACCTTGCAAACAAGTGATTCTAGTGACTTTGCGACACATCCCAAAATATGGCTGAGACTTCCATTGTATACATCCTCATCCTTCCGTCCAAAAAATATTAGCACCATGTGTCCATCGTTTACTAGTTCTTCATGGCGGAGCTTGAGGAAAAGGGAAAAGTCCTTTCGAAACTGTTCTTTGAATAATTTCACTACTAATGGTGTTGTGGTGGAGCTGATGTATATGTTGTCCTTATTTGAGAGAGATTTTCCACCAGCCTCTAGTCCCTCTGGCACCTATATGTACACATCACTTAATTTAGAAAATTTCACAGCTCAAGTTAGCTACAAATTAAAAGCAATATCACATGTATGCAAGATTGGTACACATCATGTATATACGTCAGATATATGCAATAATGCATAAACAACTTTGGGAAACATATCCTATGCACACAAGTTTCCCATACACACCAACTAGCAAATGTCGAAAAAATAGACATGTACTCCTAATAGGATGACACATATATGCAAAGTGACAAAGTCTCATATTCAAATTCATTATATTTTAGCTGTAACAAAAAAGTGAAAAATCTAACAATTTTCAGAGTACAAAGCTGTTAGAATTTTCTCTATTTTTTTACAGCTAAAATATAATAAATTTGAAGATAAGATTTCACATATAGGTGCAATACTATTGAAAGTATGTGCCGAATTTTTCATATAATTTTCTGTGATATTTGTTAGTTGCTGTGTATGGAGTGTATTACGGGAAACTTGTGTGTATAGGATATGTTCCCAACAACATTTTTATATCAATAATCGTACCTGGGAGCGCCAATGAAGACAATACGAGGAGTGGAAGAGATGAACACTCTGACGAGGGAAAAGTCTAGAGTAATATGATTTTGGCAAACCGGATATGTAGTATGATGGAAGCGAATCTCCCTTGTGATACATCGTAGTTGAGGTCTTGATCTTTTCGAGTGATCGAAAGAGTTGGTTGAAATCATTACCTGGTAAGTCATTTAGGAAGAACTGAAGTTCGATAGGATCATGTTCATCCAACTTAGTACAGTGGTCTGCTATGATGTTGATGACATTGGACATGAAGAACATCGTATTTGGTCCTGCAGAGCAACCTAAGTCTGCAATGACCATAGTTTTGGGGAGAATAGCCTTGTACACTTCTATTATAGCTTTCTCGATGACTGGCTTAGTTTCATCTATAACAATTGTCTAGCAATGAGCAGAAAAGAAAATTTTGAGCTCTTAATCATGATATAGACACGTTATATGGTGTTATACAATGTCGACCTATGTCTAATGCATGTATATCTTGTATAGTATGTAGATGCTAGGTTAATATTATCAATAACTGACAGATATATCCATTCTTCTAAACAAATTTCTCCAGTACTACGAATAGTTATGGCTAATTGTTAATTGCAGCACATATATATTTTCTGTGAGGATAATTAATTAAGAGACGACAGAGATTCGTGCTTTTCAGCAGAAAAGAAGATGCAGAGAAAATAATTATTATACGAGGAAAAGCTAATTGTTATATATATTTGATAAATCACAATAAACATAATTTACCAAGGTAAACCAAACACGTCATGATGTTGTTATTTGTACACATATATGTAACCTGACAGCCAAAAAATAAAATAAAACGAAGAGCAATATAATCACCTGACGCCTGGAGTACTTGGCATAGCTACCTTCTCCTTCCCCACTGGTCATGTGTAAATCGCCTTCGATATTGACCATGGCTTGTCTTGGATTATTAGATATGTGGGTCTTTGAGTAGCAACAATAAGCACAATATTAATGCAACTCAAGTGTGGGTACTCTCTCCATTGCGAGGTGCCATCATATATAGACCATCACCAAGACATGTACCAGCAGTACTATACATATGCCAGCTAGCTAGAAGCCAGAATATCTAAAATTGTGCAAGAGAAATCTGTGCCAACCCACAAGCTAACACTGGTACAGTCGTACAGAAAGCAGGTGTAACTACTGGAGTAGTACGTACTAAATTAGTTTCGCTGGCGGTGAAAACGAATTTTCATAGACAAGTAAACAGACCACACGGAACCAAAGGCCTAAGAAACATCGATCTTCACAGACGGGAAACACGCAGCACAAATCAAGATGTGGATTGGGGTCTTCAGCTGCTTCGAAGCTAGTCCGAAGGAGAGAGCGAGGTAATCCCTCCGTTTCAAAATATAAGAATTTTTAGCACAGTGACGTATCAAACATTTTCAACTTTGACTATTAAAAAGAACAAAAATAAAAAAGATCACGTGGAGATTATGGGTACCCCATACCCACAGGGCATAGTTATCCGACTAGTTATAGAGGATAACTTATATCTATGGAATATGTACGGATCATGACTTGGGTATTACATTTCCTTGTATATTACGGAACAGTCTAAAGTCCTGGTTTGATAATATTGTAAAGTAGGTTTAGAAAATCGATACCGTATTGGTTAAGGTTTCTATCTCGTAATAATCCTGCCCCTCATCCTATATAAGGCGGATAGGAGGTCCTCTAGGGTAGAGGATTCACAATTAGATCGTCGGATCAATATTACACCCGGCGGATTCAAATCCCCGAATAGTAGTAGGGTATTAACTCTCGTTAAGAGGGCCTAAACCTGTCTAAATCCTTGTTTCTGCATCCATCCACTTGTAGGTCTCATGCGCTACCCCGTTTATATTGCCGAAATCTAGTTTCGACAGATCAATCATGTAAAATTAATGTTACTAGATTTATCATTAAACAAACTATCATAATGTGTAACTATTTTTATTTAAAACATCTTACTTTTATATATTATTGGTAAAAGTAGCATCTTGGAAACCGTATCAGAGTCCAAAAAATGCTTATATTTTAGAATGGAGGGAGTAGACAATAGCCAACATGAAGGCGAGGATGAGGCAGAGTCAGTTTTTGGACGGATGGAATGCGAGGACCCACCATGCCAGTAGAGGCCACTAGCTCCCCAACATGCTGGCAATGATCTGCCTCTCAGCTCGCCGGCGGCGAATCCGTCACTCCCAAGCCTTGTGGCGGCCGATCCACCTCTAGTGATCAGCTTATCAGCGTTGGATCTAGAATTAGCGCAAGACTAGGCTTCATCAAAGCACCAAGCCATCACTATCGCAGTCCCAGGGTGTGTTCGGAACTTCTAGTTCCCAACCCCTCTCCCTCATTTTCCACGCACACGCTTTTCAAACTGCTAAATGGTGTATTTTTTGCAAAAAGTTTATATACGAAAGTTGTTTTAAAAAATCAAATTAATCCATTTATTAAAAAATTAGCTAATACTTAATCAATCATGTGCTAATGGACAGCTCTATTTTTCGTGCTACCGGACACAGCCCCCGTCACCATCTCTGTCACAAATAGTACTGCAACAAGATAGAGAAGCTGGAGGGATGTAGGTGAGGAAAGGGAGGGTCTAGGCTGGATTCAGAGAAGAGTTGGTAACCCTCCTCCTCTTCGGCACGTATAACGAATAACTCATTACCATATAATTAATTAAGTATTAATTTAAAATAAATTAATATAATTTTTAAAGCAACTTTCCTATATAAATTTTTTTTAAAAGACACACAGTTTAGTAGTTTGGGAAGTGCGCGCACGAAAAACGAGAGAGATGAGTTGGGAAAGTATGGGAAATGCTATGTTCTTTTGTTAGAGTTGGGAACTCTCCGTTCAAACATGCAAAAAAGAACAGTCCATTAACATGTGATTAATTAAATATTAGCTATGTTTTTTAAAAAATAAATCAATATGATTTTCTAAAACAATTTTTTATATATTTTTTTAGAAAACATACCATTTAGTAGTTTCACAAGCCGGCACGTGAAAAACAAGGAATGTGAGTTGAGAAAGCTAACAAAAAGGACTTGGGGCGGCTATGTAGACTTGGCCATGACCACTCGTTTGTTCGCCATCAATTAATATCAACCGGCATAATAAGTACCGCCGTGCCTGTCATGTCACCCTCTTTGCCTTCCCCTCTCTCTACTCGTCTTATCATATCATACTGAGCACGCTGAGCACATGAAATATTTGACTTAGGTGCAATATCAATTAAGTATTAGCTACGTATTTTTTTGAAAATGGATCAATATGATTTTTTAAAACATTTTTTATAGAATTTTTTTATAAAAATATACCGTTTAGTAGTTTCAGAAACGTGAAAAACAAGAAATGTGAGTTGAGAAAGCTAATTACAAAAAGGACTTGGGCGGCTATGTGGACATGGCCATGGCCACTCGTTTGTTCCATGTTGCAATCAGCTTGCCATGCCATCAATTAATGTCAACTGGCATAATAAGTACCGCTATACCTGTCATGTCGCCCTCTCTGCCTTCCCCTCTCTCCACTTGTCTTATCATATCAAACTGAACACGCTAAGCACACGAAATATTTAACTTAGGTGCAATATCCATGTGCTTCAAACAAATGTAAGTTTCTGAAAAAATATAAATTCAAGTTAAAAATATTTAAAAGAAATATGTAAAAAAATTAACTTTGAAACCGTTTCTCTACTACTTCGAAAATACGAACTTTTTCTGTCGGTGGTCCATCTTGGTCATTTCTATAGCACAATAGGTTTGGCTTTGCGACATTCTGGTCCAACTAGGATTTGACCTGTATGACCCATAAGAGCTATCTGCATATGTTTAAATTCACCTTGCCAGGCCCGTCCCGGCCCCATCTTCGAGGGGCCACAAAGGCCCAATACCCCAAGTACATGCGTGTGGGCAGCTCAATAAAAAATTAAATCGACTGCTCATCCGTCTGTCGTTTCGTCTTCCAATTTTTTTGTTGCCTCTTCGTCTCCTTGATCGCTCGTCCGTCTTTCTGCCTTACCGGTGGAGTCGACGTGTTACGTCGCTGCTTCTGGCCTCCTGGTTGCATATGTTATTTGATGATAATGTTTCTCAATTTTGGTGCATAGGTTATTTGGTTTATCTACTATGTGGACTAAATTATTTTTTTTCTTTTCATGTTGTATCTATACGTGTATAAGTTTATCTAGTATTTTAATTTTCAAGCCACATCGTCTACAAATCAGATTACAAAATATAACTTCGGTCGTGAAAAGCGTAAGAAGAAAAAAAACAATAGAAGAAAGGAGCTATGCAAATATATTAAAAAGAAGATCCATCAATTATTATTATTATTATTATTATTATTATTATTATTATTATTATTATTATTATTATTATTATTATTATTATTATTATTATTATTATTATCAATTTAGTGATTTTGCACAGGACCCCTGAATTTTACGGCACGGCCTACAGCTTGCTAGTTTAGCAAGGTTTGGAACAAACTTATAATGTTTCTTCCCTTCAACCATATGACTCCCGGGTTTACCCTTCTACACGAAGCGAGAAGCAATTTATAAGGTCTCTTGAAGCAACTTATAAGGCCTCTTCCTTACAACCATGTTCCAACTTACAAGGACTCCTCCCTCCAACCATATCACCCCAGGTTTAACCCTTTTACACAAAGTGAGGACCAACTTATAAGGCCTCTTTCCTCCAACCATGTCACTCTCGGGTTAACCCTTTTACACGAAGCGAGGACAAAAGTATAAGCGGAGTGGTATGTGTAAGTGGGCCCGCCCATCGGATGGGTTGGCTACACAGTTCTGGAGGAAGGGCTGTTATAGGCTTCACCTAAACGCAATATCATACTACAAAACAATACAATAGGACTTTGAAACCGTATATATCTTACGTTGTTTCGAAAAAAAACTTTATATATTTTACCTACTCCCTCCATCCTATAATATTGCATCCTAGGATCCAATGTAGTGTAACAAATTGGGAGATACGAATGGGACACTACATATTAGAATGAACCTAACATGAACATGCCTCATGTTCAGATTCGTCGTACTATATAGTGTCACATCTGATTTTGGATTGACGTAGGGAGTACTTATTAAAAGATGAGCAACATCACATCAATCCGCTTCCGCCAATTTCTCCAAGCCACCACGCCCGCGCAGGCGCGCAGTCAATTCACCACTGTGTGCCATCTCCGACCTTCTAGGCATATGCCTCTAGCATGTCAAGGGAATGCTAAGAGCTAAGGGCTTCCCCTTAACCTCCCCTCTCCATCCCTCTTTGCCTCCATGGACGCTGCCATGGGAATTCCTCTGCTCGTCGCTAGCTACATCTCGTTGTCACCGGTCGGTCTCTCCCAGTCCTTCTCCGCCTAACAAACAAGGAAAAAGACAAAGTTGCTGCTATTATTTCCCTTGTTCAAAATTATTGGCGGAGTGATGAAGCCACGTGATTAATTCATCTCTCCGCGCTAATTTACTACTATCTCTATCCTAAATTATTATAAGGCAGCCACAATTTTCTTAAAAAATCAACATTTACCAACTTTAAAGTTAATAGCTTAACTAGTAATATTTTGTCATGCATGTTGCATTTTTAGATTTATGTTTGGAATTACTTTCATATGGCTAGCAAATATGCATGTGTGTTGAAACGGAATTGCATTGAAGAACACATCATAGGTTCCTAGCCCAATTCCACAGAGTAAAGTAATGAAAAACAAAAGAGATTAGAATGCAACGCACCGGTATTTTGTTAGTCTATTTCTCTACTATCTATCTATTCTACTGTTTTAAAAGTGCAAAATGTTTCCATCGTCCGAAAAGAAAGAGAGAGAGAAAAACCATTCCGATTTAAAAAACACCGGCGAGAAAAAAAAAATCCATCTAAAAAGGCATTTTTTAAAAAAGCGCCCAAAAAAGTAAAAATACAAAACGCCGAAAAAACCGTCTCAAATATGGAATCAGAAAACAATTCGGAAAAGGAAGGAAAAAACAGAAAAAAAAAAAGGCCCGAACGCCGTCAGCAAGAAAAGCGGCGGAAAAAAAAAGCGAAAAAAAAGCCAAAGAGAAAAAAACGCC